GAACTACTCAGTATCGAGAGTATTCGTCCAGGAAATGTAGTCGTGAAAAAACTAACGAGGATATTCTAATCTTTTTTTTAATAAGTTCGGATCCAGTAATTTCCAGTAAGCGAAAATTACCTAAAAAGAATTTAAAAATTATGCCTTCGGAAGCCTTAGAATTATTAAAGCCCACAACTGTGCAAACCTTTAGTGATGATAGTGGTGAAAGGGATGGTGATGATACTTCAAGCAGTGATGATACTCGAAGCACTGATAATGATGATGATGATACTGTAAGCGGTGATGATAATGACATGTTTTCTCATTCTGGCGATGAATATAATTTTTGAACCATTTTTTTTTGTTAAAAATGGTCAGTATTTCGTTCAAATATACTAAATACCATATATACAGTTTATATATAAAACGTTTCTATACGTAATTCTACTAAAAAACTTATATTTGATTTAATGCCAACTTTTAAAGCTCTTTGCCCCAGTGTGCATCGTAAGGAGAAAAGTAATCTTTATCAAATGAGCCTAACGAAAGAAAACATTGCCATTTAAAAAAATGTAAGTATTATTCGTTACTCATTTGTTTTCTGAATTAAAAACAATTGAATGCAGTCTTATTATGCCAAATAAAATATTAAACAACTTTTGTATAAAATGTTTTTTTATAAAGTTGATACTTACCAAGATATATGCCCCATACATAATGGGCACCCTGTATAAATACTCATTATTCTCTTATTTGTTGTGTTTCTAATATTAAGTACATATCTTTTCTAAGAAATGTTTTGAGGAGGCATGCATTGTCTACTTACAAAAGAGGGCGGAGAATAATTAGATTCTTTAAAATTTTTTGTAAGACTTTTATACTAGTTTTTATAATTAAATTTTAGTTGTTATAACTAAACTTTCGCTTTTTATTAAATTTTAGTTTAAAAAAAATTAAGTTCTACCCTGTCCTTGTATGATTGTCATAAGTCTTTTCAGGTACTTGAGCGGGCAAAAATCACCCTGGCTTTTATTTATGACTGTCATAAAAACCGATCTGGATGTGGAAGAGTATACCATGATGCAGGATAAAGTTGGTTTTGTACCAATGAATAAAAACTTTGAATAGTTGATTTAAATTTGTCAGTGTCTTATCCCTGACTTTGTTCACCAGTAAAAAATGATTTGTAGATAAAGTTTGTTTATTAAAAATACAAGAAACGTATTAATGAATAATGAAATATGAACAACAATTTCAGGAACTAAACAGTCACAGGCTGTGTCATCTTCTTCTACTAAACTTACTGGTTGTAAGGTTAGAACAGTTGTGTATCAAATCTTCAAAAATTTTGAATATTAATCTTTAATATTTTAGAATTAAAAAAGAACGCTTATTTTCCCCAAATACACCATACGTGCAATACATCATTGGAAAGCTAAAAATATGCTCTTTTCAGTAACACCATAATCTACTATAGTTTGTATTTAAAAAAATACAACTTTGTGTTGTATCTCAAAAATCATCAAATATTTTT